CTATATGCCACATATAAGCATATGCCACACCCAAGCCACGTTTTGACTTATTAATTGATTTAATTGGGATGCTGTAAGAATTTTCGCTAATCGCTGCCTCTCCAAATAATCCTCTCGACAGTGCATAATTACAAACACTAAAGAAACGCCCAAACCCATATTTTTAATCCTTCCATTTTATCTTAAAAACCTTGCAATCAAACGTGATGATGGTTTACATACTCAAGAATGTATAAGTATGTTGCAATTATTAAGTAATAAAACAAAATAAGCAGTACTGACAGATGAAGCATCCTCTGTGTAATTATGATGATTTAAAAAAAACAACACCGATAAAATATAAAATGAATTGGAAGACGAGAATAAAGCAAACAGACTGCATGAAACCTTCGGAGCTGGACCACAGTGATGATGATGGTGATGATGGTGTTGATGTAGCGTGTGGACCACACTCAGTTTTAAAGTAGGTCTTCAGCGCCCTCTGCAGGCTCAAACTGTCAGTGCCTGCTGGGTAAAATAACTAGGTGGCAGTGAGCACCCTAGGATGTCATTTTACACATCAATACCACCGAACAAGAGTGTTGTTTAAAGGGAAATTCCTCCCTTAAAATAAGACCTTCTTGAATTGACTTTTGGTTCAGGTGTATGCATACAAACCATCACAGACAGGCTGTCAGTGAAGCAGAAGCTCAGAATGTTCCTTTGCACAAATTGTTACCTTCAAGTAAAGCAAAGATGTAACTATGCAGAGCGTGAATGTGAGATCAGAATGATTCATCTTATCTGTAACTTGGCTTGGGATAGACTGGTGACCTATCCAAGGTGTGGATAGCTGTATTTTTTTTCTTTCTTTGTTTTTTGTTTACATTTATTTATTATTGGTTTTCATTATCTTGGAATTTTGTGGGTTTTGTTGTTGTTGTTGTTGTTGTTGTTGTTTTGTTTTAACTTTTAGTTCTTAATTTTAAGATCACGCCCAGTTTGATCAATATACTTTAACTTTTTACTTTATGTCACAATCACCTGTGTCACTTTCTGACATGACATTGCAAGATGGACAATAAACTTTTTCCTATTAATACATATACAAAGACTTCTTTTTTATTGTTTTCTTACAGGTTATTGTGGTGTTTTTTGTTTTGTTTTGTTTTTTAATTTCCTCCCGCAGCTCCTGAATTTGGACACACATTGGCCCATGAACTAAAATTAGTTTGGCACTCCCAGAAGAGGCGGGCGGATTAATTCAGATATCGATAGCATTGATACCAACACTGGTATTGGTATTAGATTAGTGTGAAAGGATTGATATTGTGTTTCTATCCTGTAAGTTTACTATGTAGCTCATTGAATTATGTTAAATTATTTCTTTTGGAAAAATATACATATACCTCAAACACACACTATGAAAGTTGTCTGAACCTTTCTATGTTGATTTTCATGTGTATTTTGTTTATAGCCTATAGTAGATAATCTATACAAGCTGAACCAAGGTGCTTCAGGGATGGGTACATTCCAGGTCTCCAAATAACCCAGCTTCAAAATACACGAAAATCTGACAAGTGTGTTTTGCTATGTTAAGTAAGTACTGTAGAAAGTAAAAATCATGCTAAATCTGCTAAATCGTGATTTAGCAGTCATTAAAATGATGATGATTATCTCATCATAAATCATGACACACTGCTCTCCCCTACATAAGCCGCCTTTATAGATTAAAAGTATCGGTAGCACTGCCGTTGAATTGAATGACTAACGGCTTTTTGTACTCCAGGCCAGAGGGTGGCGCGCACGCACATACAGTTTTCCACCCAGGATAAAGCGCGCTTGCCGTAGAAGAAGAAGCAGGAGCTAGCTTAGATGCCAGTGCGTTTAAAACGGGGTTTTTGCTTTTAAATCGTCATGTCTTGGGTTAAAGCTCTGCCTGTGAGCGGAGACGATGTTTTCGACGAGAGTGCGGACGAGCTTAGTTTACAGAGTAAGGAGTGGACCTCCAACATGAAGAAGCGACTGAGGGTAAAGTTAGCTCACATCAAAAACGGATCCTGAAATGTTCACTCACACCGGCTCTGCGTGCTAAACGTCCTGTGTGTGTGTTTGTGGTGTGATGTCCTTCTGTGTTAACCTGCTCATGTTTTCTCTCAGGACGGGTTTGTGGACGGAGTTGATACCGGTGAGGATGCCTCGCTTCAGGTGGGATTCAGCCTGGGTTTCAAGGAGGGAGCAGCTCAGACTGTGGCTGTGGGACGACTCAGAGGAATCGTCAGGTAAACCATCAATAACGTCATACATCTGCCCCGCATGTGACTTGTCACGTGATATTGTTTTCCTTACAATAACATGATAACATCTAATAAGATGTCACATATTAAAGTGACATCATTTTAAAGGGATTATACACATGTCTATTTAAAACTTCATGATATACATGGTTTGGGCTCCTTGATTGCACATGTATCTCAGCCAGGCATTGTCTTCTTCTTATCCGAAGTTGAGTTGAGAGTAGGTAGGTAGGCTAAGCAGGGAATCCCAGAGCTCCTAGACCCCAGCCACAATTCCCAGCTCCTCTTGGGGGATTCTAAGGCATTCCTAGGTCAGACAGATATGTAATCTGTCCAGCCCAGAGTATTCTGGGTCTACCCTGGAGTTTTTAAAAAAAGAAATTAAATCTGTTGCCTTATTTTATAATTCGTGGAAACAAATTATAGTTTTGATTAAAAGTTTGATTAACTGTATTGCCCCATACACGGTGGCATGGTGGCTCTTCCACCACCTCCCTCCTCTCATTACAGAGACTCCTGCCTGACCTCATCTATCAGTCCATCCACCAGTATTGCACAAATAAACATTAAATTAAAATGACAAAAATTGGCAGAGACTGGCTTGATGATCCCACAAAAATATCAAAAGAACAGGGACTCAATTCATGAATTCTGTGGAGGGAATTTTCACCCTAAACTTACTGTTACGTTTGAGAAAGAAAAGTTGAGGTGATTTGAGCTTTGTGGCATGGTGTGTTATCCTGCTGGGTAAGCACAACAATTTAAATGTTGCTGGTATTAAGAGGCCCAAAGTGTTCCAAGAAAATGACCCACACTGTTACACCAGCAGCAGCCTGAACACTTGATAAAAGGTGGGCTTGACTCAAATAGGATGTGTATAAAGTAGCCAAAAAGGCACCAACAGGAATGGACTCTGCCTATAATCATGTAGTTTAGAGTCAGTCATTGTCCCTGCCAATAGAAACTGTCCAATGAGAAATTTTTACAAAGTGATATTTATGTTTTTCCCCCTCAGTTTCTAAAAAAATCACGAGATTGTAATAATTCATCAATGAAGGATATATTAAGGATAAACAATCAAATATAACAGACAGCATCCACAGTAAAATCTCAGTAATTGAGAAGTGCTCGTTCATGCCACATGGAAATCCTCTCAGAGGTTTCAGCCTCATTCTTGCACAGAAACATCCCGAGTCTCTTTTGTACCGACTGTCATTGAAATGTCCTTTGTGTGCCATTGAATGTGACTCTGTTGTTTCTTTGTGTCTCGCAGCGCTATATGGTGCTGGTGCCAGATCCAGCATCCGGAAAAGCCCGTCCCATCCTCTGTGACTGACCTTCTGCACAGGGTCACGCAGCATGAAGACAAAATAGCGAACGGTATCAAGAATGCTCTGGAGAATCCTCCGCCCAGTGTGAGCGACGTCTCCGAGAGCATGGAGGACCTGGAGGTGGAACAGGCAGACCGGGGCTGCTGCGAGCAGCGCTGTGAAGAGTCGGACTGCTGTAGGAAGGGAGAGACAATGGACTTGGACTTTCCTCACAGGCCACAAAGGATCTGCTCGGGGTCCACTGAGGAGCTGCACCTCCTCCTGCAGTGCTGCGTTGACCTGGTGTCAGAACTGGGAATGCCACAGGAGCTCATCGGCCACATAGAGGAACTGAGGAAGCTGTAGTGACTGAAAGGGTTCGAGTGATGACTGAAACTGTGACGCTAAATAGGCTTGGTGTGAAGCTCTTTCTCACAAAAAAAAACATGAAGATGTATATAATGTTTTATATACTTATGGATTTTTGTATTTTAAAGTGTTTGGAAATAAACTGAAATTTCCTGCTGCATGTTTGGATCGTTGCCTCTAAAATGAGAATAGTCTATAGCAGCGGTCCCCAACCTTTTTTGCGCCATGGACCGGTTTATGCCCGACAATATTTTCACGGACCGGCCTTTAAGGTGTCGCGGATAAATACAACAAAATAAAACTAGTACCGGTACCGAAAAAAAGAAGATTTATTCATAACACACGTGAAAAGACCCAGGAAAACCGAGTTAACGATAAAAACCATACATTTCACAACTGAGCCTCAATTCTCGCGGCCCGGTACCAAACAACTCACGGATCGGTCCGAGGCCCGGGGGTTGGGGACCGCTGGTCTATAGAACTCAGTTTTTAGGAAATAATTCAGTTAACTTTCAGTATCCTAGAATGTCTTAGCAAATAAAATGACAGCGATAGAGCCATCAGTATTGACCTCCATTTTTGTTGGAGGTCAATACATATATATATATATATATAGAGAGAGAGAGTGAGTTAAAAAAAAGTCTTATAAAATGTTTTCAAACAATTAAAGACTGAAGCAAAATTTAAATCAAAAACAAAAAGCCAATAGGAAATAAACATAAAAACTAATAAGATATCAACCATAGCAACTCTGGTCCTGAGAGCTGTCGGCGATGCCTTTAATTGCATCTTGCCTTTGTAGCTCGAAAGCATAACCTTATCAAATCGGCTTTGATATGAAAACAAATAAAAGCAGCACGTACTCACATTTAAACACGGTGAACGGTAAATGTTTGGCCTTTCTGCTTGAAAGACTTAAATTAAGTTAATTTTCTGTCAAACGTTTTGATGAGTGAAGACTAAAAAACGATTTGCACAAGTGTTCCGAAATCCCTACTTTCACCTGAATGCATCAAAAAACTCTCGGCCCACACGAGCATGACGTCATGCGCTCGGACCAAGCCGTGACCCGCTGCTCCTGCTAAGCTAAGGTGGTTCGTACCAACAGATGGTACGCGTCAAACGCTCCGAAAACCCGCTTTCCTATGAAATGTGCCGCATTAAGCGATAACGGCGCAGTCGTAGGAAGAGCTACCCACCGCGGCAGCAGCGTTTTCAGTGAGCGCCAGTCACTCTCCGGGAACGCATGCTTGTATTTTAAGTTTACCGCAGCTAGCTGGCTAGCTCGTCAGCTCACCAAAAGTGAAACAGGAACGAGGCTGAAAGCTCCAGGAGTTTGACTTCAGCACAGCCAAAACAAGGTGTGTTTTCACGACCTGACCTCGTCTTTTATTTGTACCAGCTAAGAAGTGTGCAGCCGTTATTATTAACGTTACTTTGCCGTGTTTGACAGGTGTAGCTGTGTTCATTTAATAAAGTCGTGTGGTTTAAAAAAAGAAGAAGAAAGAAATGCCCTCGCGACAGGAGTTTTTAGCCATACTGCCACTGCATTGTTTTACTGTGCTTCATCACAGGCTGCCAAAAGGTGTTTTTGTGTGAGGATCACACGTTTCCATACTGTAATGTATTCCGTCTGTAGTCCGAATGATTTTCAGTCGGACTGAATTATATACTGAATGATATTCAATCTCTAGTGAGTATAGAGAATCCCATATCAATATTTGTGTGTTATTCTTTTATGTTATATGTTATTGATTAGCTTGAAGACTTGACTGTGCACCCCCAGCTGTGGACATTGGTCTTAGGGGCACACTGTTGGATCACATCACTTCTAAATGATAACAAACATCTATTTCTGCAAGAAAAGAAAGTGTTTACACATACTGGACAACACGGAGTTATGGTCAGAGGTTTGCATGCACTCATCATGTGCATAAATGTCACGTTAAATCTGGGCTTTTAATGATTTCTTTTTCCAAGGTGGAGTGATTGTGCAAAAAAAAACAAAAAAACACCCAAGAATCGGGTGCTCAAAAGTATACATTCAGCCTCAAATATATGCATTGACCCCATTAATATTTGGTAAACTGTCCCTTAACAAGTGGCACCTTAAGCAGATTTTTTTGGTGGCCATGAACAAGTATTTGACTTAATTCTGGCTTGATTTGTGAATGCTCCTCTTGCCAGAATTCGTAGTTCTTTTAAATTTGTTGGTTTCCTGGCATAGACCTGTTGTAGTCCACAAATAGGATGGAGATAAGGGATTTGGGAAGCCCGTTCAGGAAGTTTAATATTAGCCTGCTTTTTCCTATCTAAATGTATGTTTGGGATCATTGTCCTGCTGGAGCATCCGACTTGTGTCCGAGTTTCAATCGTCTAGTTTTTGATCTGAGGTAGAGTTGAAGAATTTGGAGGTAGTCGTCCTACTTCATAATTCTATTCAGTTTGTGCAATTTACCACTGACACGAAAACAGCCCAGAGCGTGATACTATCACTGCCATGCTTGACAGCTGGAAGCTTCACTTTTACTCCTCCACACATACCTCTTGTCATTGTGGAGAAATATTCAATCCCTATCTCGCCTGGCCATCAAACATGTATCCAGAAGGCTTTTGGCTTGTCTACGTGGGCAGTTGCAAATTTCATTCAAGCTTGAAGGTGTCAGTTTTGGAGCAGGAGCTTCTTTCTTGGACGGCAACATCTCAGTCCATGGAGATTTAAAACTCTTCATGGTGGAGAATGATGCTGGTATTTCAGCAATTTCCAGTTCATGACAGGCTTGAGCCTTCGTGGTTCCTGAACATCCAAATCAATTTCCCCTCATCCGAGGGAGTCTGTTTGGGTCGTCTTCCAGATCTTGGCAAAATGGTGACTTCTGAATAACTGGTACTTATGTACAACTGGTTGAAATGATGATCTTGGAATCTGCGGTTGTTTAGAAATGGCTTCAAGAGACCTTCAGTTCCTTGGATTTTCCTGTTGTTTAGCGTATAGGTCAGCTCAATGAGTGCTGTCAAACAAATCCTCTTTATGATGACAAAGAGAAACTACTGATTGTAGTCAGTCATGATCATTAACCAGAAGTTAATGGGCCTTGGCCTTGCCAATTTAAAAGAAAAAAAGAAAGAAAATCCCAAATAAATTCAAACTTGTACATCCAATTCTTGTCATAAAGATCATTAAAAGCCAAAAATCATCATGACATTTGTGCTCATGATGTATGTATTTTAACTTCTTTATGCGACGTAACAATATAGCCGCGATTGACCCAATAATATCTATTAACAAATTCATCAGTTAGGGGATAATTCTGGGTCTTTTTCTTGGCTCAGTGGGGGCCTTTAGGAGCACACTCATTGGTTCAGATATAATTAGCACATAGTCTGTTACCTTAGGAAAGAGTGGCTTATTGATTTTCCTAATATTTTTGGTGATTTTATAAACAAAAGTAAATTAAACCTCCGTTAAAAAAATAAGAGTTGTTGTTCATTTATTTATTTTTATCACAGTCTGGCTGGGTGCTGTCTTTTTTGCCTCATTGGGCAACATTTAAGGAGTCTTGAGCTTTTCTATATAGTTTATGCATGTAAACATGAATACTGTGGGGTAATCATGTTTGGTTATATCTCAGGGTTTTTCCATGTTGGATGTGACCTTTCAGGTCCACCTACAGTAAATACAATAAGTCTTTGTTGCCTTATTTAACAGAAATCTGTGTGTTGTTGTGTTTCCTGGATGTTTGAAAAACAAAATATTTATCGTGTTTGAGAAAATAAATCCCCGTTGAACATAAAAGCTTTATCCTTCATAATGGACAAAATCTGCATGTACCAAAATATTGTATTTTATTAAATACAACAAATTGTGTAATTACAGTAGCGGGAACTTGTTACATAACAAACTGTAATGTGTTAGATCACAGTCAGTGTGTTGATCACTCATTCTGTGCTTTTAGCTGTCAACACACTTTTTATAGGACATAAACATGGTTTCTCCCTTGCGTTAGCAGCAGCTTATCCCTCCGTCGTCATCATGGAGTCCTGAAATCTTCAGGTTTCGGCGACTCGCCAGGTCGCTTGTGGTTGCTTTGGACCAGAGGCCTCTTCAGCCTACAGCCTGTCCGACCTCCCAGGCTGAGGGAGCGAGCAGATGGGGAACTGGTGCTGTTGTCGCCATGAAAGTCCTTGCGGCAGTTTGGAGGAAAGAAGCGGTTTGCTGACCAGTGACTCGAAGGCCACCCAGTTCACAGGCTGTAAAGCTGTGGCTGGCAATTGCGGTCCTGAAGGAGATGATTGCATGAGGTGAGATGACTGGGAAAACACAGACAGGGAAACTCAAAGTCTGAGTGTGTGAAGGGTGCTGGGTGCTAATAAGACTTGGTGACCTAATCTGGTACAACAGACACACTTTCACAGGATTTCCCAGCAGTGTTTCGTTTCTCAGGTTCCTCCATAAGCAGCAGACCACAAACAATTTTAGAGCTGACTCAGAACACTTTCAGCTGAGACTTTTAAATGCTTGAAGAAAGCTTTGGAGTTTGCGGTAATATTGGATTTAAGCATCTAAAACATGCAGACAGTACCTGCATCTGTGGTCACAAAAGCACCATTAAATGCTGGAAAATGGGTGAAAACAAAACGACGATTAGATTTTCCCCTGTGGGTTGTGTAGGATGCACCATGTGACCCAATGACAGCACAAAACAGAGTACTGAGATCAGAAACGGGGTGAGGGGGACTTCCAAAGGTCTTAAAGTGTTTGTGGAAGTCAAAACATTTGTCATTTCATGAACTAACTGGTAATCAAAGAGATAATGTTTTGAACAAAGGTTATCTGCTTCCTCTCCACCTACAGGGTTGAAGGAATCCTGAAACATTTCAACAGCATCTTTTCTTTGGTCACAAAACATTGTTTTTCTGGGCATGAAAAGGGTGTAGCCAAGGCTCTGTGGCATTGCTAATGAATACTGTGTCGTCACTTAGGGATGAGGAGCGGAAGATGAGTCCTGAGACCGGCGAGCAGGAGCCTAATAACACTCAGGAGAATGGACCCTTGAAGCAGGAAGTCATTCAAATAGAGATGCCTCCGCCCTGCAAGATGTCTGAAGAAAACGCCACCGGAGTACAAGATACAGAGGAATCTCCTGCTCACAGTTGTCAACTTCCAATGCAGTGCGCTTTGGGGTCTGTCCAGGATGAGCACGCCAAAGCGGATTCTGAAGTTTTAAAAGCACCAGAGATAGAAGAAAACCCCCCCACGCCGGACAAAATCCCAGATGGCACCTCTCTGACACCTGAGGTGGTCTGCTTTGAAAAAACTCCGCAAACTGAGGCAAACACAACAGTAGAGCAAACTGCAGCGAGCACAACTCATCATGACGAAGAAGAAAAAGTGACTGTTGAAGCTGCAGCTAAACCATCAGGGGAGTTTTCTGAAAATCACAAAGTGTCATCAGTGTCAAACATGCTGCTGGCTGCAGCTGCCCCGGCAGCCCAGCTGTCATCTGTGTCTGTGGAAAAGCAGGAGCCTGAACCTGAGCCTCTGACATGGTGAGTTACATGAAATTAACCTGTAAGCTTAGAATTTAGCTTCCCTTTTATAATGATTTTAATATTTATTCTGAAGAGCTGGATAGAAAGTTCCAGTGCAGTTCAATGTCATATATTGTCTGTATTTCTTTTAGAAGAAAATATGAACTTCTTAAAGTGCTTCTTTCTTGTTTGTGTGCACATGTTGGTGTGCTTGTTTTACCATGACATTTCTTGCATTAAAAATATAACGCCTTACTTAAAAGTACCACAATATCTTAGCACCTGTATAATGTCAAATACTGTAAGACTCCCTCTAACAGCTCCAGTGTCTAAAATTAAAATATTGTGACACAAATGCGACACGTTCTTCTACACGTGGTGGTTGTTTAATCAAGTTTCGGCAACACCAAACATTTATTTTGCTTTTAGTGGTTGGACACATTGATATGTGTATTGTATCACTTCCCTTTGCCATACAGGTGTTGATACATTGCTGCCAAATGTAGTTCGTTTTGCTAAAACAGGAAGCTGCTCTAAACGTCTGTCAACAACTTTACTTACCGGAGGATCTGCTTTATGACTCTGGGTTCAAGATGATATAGCTCCGCCAATGCTGTAAATTCCTCTCATACCAAGCAGATTAGTTTGTTTATTCTTTTTTAAATTTTTAGTTTGATATGAATTGTGATGTCAAGTGTCCAATTTTGTCCCACCTAGCAGTGGTGAAATCCCTGGATTGAGATTGGGATCAGTTCCAAAAGTTAATCGCTTCCAAGTTGGAGGGCAAAAAAACCCTTCTGTTTATATTTTCTTTCAAATACGCCAAAATCTTTTTGAGTAATCCTGCAACAGAAAGACAAACTGAACCGCTCCTTTGGAGGTAACGATTGAGGGTAAACTAAGTGACTGGTTTTTATATAGCCCTTCTCTACTCGAGCACTAAGAAAGCAGTTTACACAACATGTCTCATAACCCATTCACGCACATTCACACTCCAGAAGATGTATCAGGATCAACGTGTGGTTGAGTGTTTTGCCCAAGGATACTTTAGCATGCAGTCCACAAACCTTCCAGTTAGTAGTACTGTACTATCACCTGAACACAGCCTCCAAGTGATTAGGAGTTGTAGTGAAGAAGAAGGCAGACAAAGTACAAAGCTCTTTACTTGAATTAACACTGTTTAGAGTGAATATTATCATTACATATATTACAGTGAATAAACACATGGTTACTCCTCTCAGCTCTGAAAAGCTGATGGGGTATTGAGATCACCCTGCCAGGCAGGCGGGCAGCTGTGAAGTGTGGACACAAAAGTTTATGAATGCAATAACTGGAGAACGAGGCAACATAGTATTTCGAAACTGATACCACAGATGCTACTTAAATCTCAGACGAGTGTGAATCCCGGACATCGAAGTCAGAGATCAACTTTTCAGATTTTTCAAATTTATACCATAGGTGCATTTACTAGGAGGCTGAGGGTAGCACAGACAACCACTGGTATTTTTTTCTTCTGATGTATTGTTACACATATGTCTTGCAATATATAAAGTATTGTAGAATCACTGGGGATCAAAGTACTGTGATAGTATTGTGAGTTACTCTGTGACTCCCAGCGCTGCTTGCTGCAGTCTTACTTTGGTGGTTTACTCAATTATAATAATCCAGATGAAACAGCTTGGCCTCCTTAAAAATGGTTTAAAGACAGAAGACTGTCTTATTGTTTCTAGAGAATTGTAACATTTTCTAATCACACCTGTGTCTGGTTTGGACAGCTGCTAAATTATTTTCTTTCTTTTTTTGTCATTTAAGTTTTTATTTGTTTGATCGTCAAACAAACAAACTGATCGTCCCAGTGTTGCAAGAGAGAAAGCAGTCCCAGGATTTCTTCAAGCTCTCTGTATTGTTATTTAGCTTGGCCAGCAGGTGTTCATATGACACTTTCTCCAGCATGAATTCCAACCAGTTTTTAACGTCCGGAGCAGAAGTGGTATTACATAATCTGTATAATCTGTGACCACTCCCACCTGTATCACTGTATTTTGGTGTTTTAATATTAGGTATTATTGTCCGATTCCCCCAATAGGCATAGTCTTGGTGACATGGGTATCACCATGCCCAGCCACTTTCTTATGTGTTCTAATTCTATTTTCCAAAATGGGGAAACGTATTTACAGTCCCAGATCGCATGTATAAATGTTCCTGGTTCTGCTTGACGTTTCCAACATAAATAATTGGTAAGTAGACCCGTTCTACAAAGGCTAGTTGGAGTTAAAAAACTGTACTATCTTATAATGACTCTTTAATGTTTCTTATTATGTGACAGTATCTTTAACCATCCATCATTATTATTTGTACAGCCAAGGTCCCTCTGCCAGATAATCCTGAGAGCTTTACAGACATCTGTTTGTATGCTATTAAATAATTTGTGAAATGCGGATGCCTTGTGTTTGATACTGAGTAGATCCATACATTTTTGTATGTATGAAATTATCTTTAACAATGCAGCATCTAATCTATAAGTATTTCCAAAAGTTAT